TGTTGTTGATGTAGAAGCAGACTCCGCCGCCTTTTGTTTTTCCAGAGAGCTCCGCGCTGCGATCCGCATGGAGGAGTTGAAATCCCTCCATGTGTAGCGCGCTGTCCATGTCTCCGTGAAGCACAAAACACAAGAGGAGGAAAGGTCTTTGTTCCTTCTCATGAGCAGCGCCAGCTCATCCATCTTGTTGCTGAGAGCTCGGACATTAGAAAGAAATACGCCAGGTAAAGGCGTGCGTGTCCCCCGTCTGCGAAGGCGCACAAGAGCTCCGGCACGTTTGCCTCTCTTACGGCGTCTTCCTCTCTTGGCCAGAAATAGGACCGAGTCCTCGGCAGAAACTAAAAAAGCTGGTAATGAATCCTTAGGAGTGGTAGCTCTAATGTTTAGAAGCTCTTCACGGGAGTAAGAGCACGCAGACGCACAATTAACTAACAAAAACAGACAAAATCTTGGATAAGATTTTACAATACTTTACAATACAATACAAGTGTACAATACTATAATTAAATCACATTGTCATTTTTACACCAAACAGACACCCACACAAAAACAAAAACGGGTAATGCACTTTTAACTAGTTTACCAACCAACATAAAACCTCACAAGACAAAGAAGAAGAAGACATTTTCTCTGGCATCTGCTGCCTGTTGCTGCCTTATACTCTGAAACACCAACATAAATCATTAACTGATCTGTTCTGATTCAGATGTAACCACTGATTGCCTGTATTCAGAGGGAAGCATGAAGGAAGTGATGGATGGATGGAAGATCTGAGGGTCTGGAGCTGAGCTTGGAGATGATGCATGAATAGCAGAGAGGAATCAGACACATTAGGATTTTACTACAGAGTCACTCAGGTTGGAGGTTCTTCACCAATAGATTTATTCTTCATGGAGCTTCATCAGATCAACCATCAGCCTGATTAACAGGACAGATGATCAGAGGAGCAGAGTTTTTACCTCCATCATTAAGACAGGGACAGAAGAATGGGTAGAGTTTCTGAGTAAAGCAGCAGCCAGTAAAGGAGTAGATCAGAGCTGCAGCATCTACATCATAGAAGGAGACCAGACCCTCCTCATAATCCACAAACACCCCCACCTTCTCAGGAGCAGGATGGAGATGGAGACGGACTAAAAAATCTGCACAAGCTGAGTACTCATTGCTATTCCTCAACACAATAGTCCAGTAACCATTCTGAGGTCTCACTGTAATCTCTCCCTTCCTGTTGATGGACTCTCTGGCCACTCCCAAAGTCCACTTAGTCTTTCCTTTAACCTGAACCTCAAAGTAAAATCTGCCTGAAGAGAAACTCTGACGTCCTAAAACATTAGCATATTTAGAAAATCTCTCTGGATTGTCTGGTAGATTCTTCTTAACATCTCCATGTTTCACCTGTTTTCCATCATCAGACAGGATGAGGTCAGGATGAGCTGTATCAGGATCCAGAGTCACATCCACTGCAGACTGCTGGACCCTCTTCATCTCAGCCTTCATCATCTTCTTCATCTCCTCCCTGATCTTCTCCTCCAGCTGAGCCACAGCTCTCACCACAGTCCCCTCATATGATGGTGGAC